TGATGGCTTTGCAGTTTTGGTGTATCTTTCTGTATCCCAAAACATCCCAGAATGAAGAGGTAACCTTCTCTTTTAGAATGAATCTTAAACCCGTATCTTATAGGCTTTCTCATGGCTGTGCCTAGTTACATACTTCAGTTTACTGTTATTTCCATGTAACAGCGCCAGATCTCATAGTAGTTCTGTGTTGCTCTGACAAGTTTTGATGAAGGAGGAGGTCCTCATTCTTTTTTGTCCCTTTTGCTGTAATAGTAATTCTAAATTTTTCCTTTCATCCAGAATTGCTCTGGTGATCCAAATGGAACCTGGTGGTTTGCTTCAAGCTTCTTATCCCATCTTGTCTTGGACAAAACATGAGATAATCTTTCTTCACGGTCATATTTAACCATACTTATTTCCTTTCTCAAAGTCAGGTTCCCATGAGTTCATAAATACAGATGAGTTACCTCTTAGTCTCTCTGTATTTCCCTATGCCCTGTCTCTTCTTCCACTCAAAAGCAAAACTAAATGCAAAGAGACTGAAATACAATCAAAATTTATTTGTTCTTTACAGAAACGAAAAGGTAGGAAGAAAAAATAGATCACTGAAGTCATCAAAGTAGCCTTTTTACAGTCTGAATTGTCAGCACGTTATTAATCCTTTATCCAAATTATATTTTTTGAAATGTGTTATTTATTCATACAGTCATCGCCAAGATACGAATCTTTCGGCAGAGTTACAGATTAAAGGAGATCACAGCAGATGTGAAGAAGACTCTCTGTTTAGCAAAGCAGGAGTCTGTTAAGAAAGGTTTGTCTCTGATATTGTTGAAAGCCTAGTAAGTCAGTCTTGTAGGCTGTTGAGAACAGTGGGGCCTTGCAGTTCTCTATTTCATTTTAACTGCAGAAGGTCTTAAGCTATTTAATGCATTTTTTTTCAAACATAACACCTTTTCCTAAATTGCATTAAAATATCGACTTAAGCAAATTAGTTTTATCACAGTAATTTCAGTGATTAAAAGCACCAATATTAATATGTGCAGGACTGAAACTAAGTATTAGGTTAGTCTTAATAGTTATTTATTGCCGGTAATGTTATTACCAAGATCTCCCTTTTTTTGAAAGCTCTTGTGAGAAACTAGAAAATGGTAAGCTGTAAATACAGTCTCACCTTCACATTTAAATTATATTTTTTTCTATCTTTCATGTCTGTAACCCTATTTCAAATAATATTTAATTTTCTCCCTTTTCTTTCTAGTCAAAAATATATAAATATACTAGTAAGTACTGAGAGTTGATTGTCTCAGTACAGTTTTATTATTTATTACCCATGGTGTAAGTATTGAAATTTCTTTAGTGTAAATATGTATATAAGGGTGTCATAGTAACCAAAAGAGTACTCCGAGACCTTTGGAAACACCATGCAGATGGACTGCATGTATCTATATTGCTATGGTACAGCTATGTCTTCACTCTGTTAATCAAAAAATATCAAGAATGGAAATGTGATTTGACCATATTTCTGCACACCCTTTGGTGTATTGTGCTCGCTGAGAGAAGTCTCAGTATAGTCAATGCTTGAGCACAAAAAAGTAGTTTGACAAGATGCTACAACTCAAATATTACTAAAATAGAATTTTATTTTTAAAAATTAGGCTCCTTTTTAAGTACTTAAAATCTGTTTTCTCAAATACGTGTTCTAGAATGGTAAAGTTGGAGCAAACAACACTGTAACCTGTAACTCATTAATTGTCTCATAACTAGTAGGAAAGGTAATAGTATTTAAGAAAGCAGAGAAGTTTAATTTCATCATGGCTTAGATTATACTATTCAAGAAACACCTTAAAAAACACTCTGCAAGTTTTAGTAGTGGTGTGTGGTAGAAATTCTAACTTTTTTCCCTATAACATTGTCAGTAGCTGACCTGCAATTTCAGGAAATCCTCAATTACCATATGGAAGTAGCAGACTCAAAATTTGAAACTTGTAATGTAAATTCATCTTACAATTTCTAACCTGTTTATACGTCTCATTGTCAGAAAACTAACTACTAAATTTGACTGCTTGCTTAATGCAAAAGATTTGCCAATTTAAAAGCAAAACCTCAAAACATTCTATGCTGCATAGTAAGTCAGAATATTGAGTTCTATCTTTCTTTACGAAGCAATTTTGCTGAAACGTTCTTGCAAAGCAATTGAGACTGTATAATACTTATCAGCCAGTGAAAATTCCATACAAACTCCAAATACCTGGCTCTGGTGATGACTTTTTAATGTTTGAAAAATCACTTTGTGTTATTTTGATATGAGAGAAATAAATAGATGTATCTTCAGAATTACATGGAAGCTTGAAAAGAGATTAATTCTTACAAAACACTGTCAATTATTTTTTATATATATACGTGTATGTGTGTGTATGTATGTGTATATATATATAAAAATAAAAGTAGTTATGTCAGTAAACAGTGTAAAAGAGATCAAGCCTCAAAACCTGTTATACAAAGGAACAAAGCACCAAAAACACAAGACAAAAAATAATTATTTTCAGTATTTAGCCTTTTTTTAAAATAAAAAGTGTTTCTCATAGTTGATTATTGATCATTAATACAGTCTTTGCTTTTAAATTTATTAATCTGGTTTTTTCCATTGTATTTTAAGCAAGCTTTTGCTAAAATAAATAATGAAGTGCTTCTACATAGTAGATGTTATAGTTCAACAGTCACCTGAAATGATTATTGCCACTCCCTTTCTCATCATGGCCATATATTTCTGTGCTTTAGGAAGATTGATATGAAATGAAATCTGAGATGTTTCCAGTTTCATAAATCATCTGTGGTATCAGTGATTGTCATTATCCAGTGTTGAAGTGTTCTACATATTTCCCTATAAATCCACTAGTTAAGTTTGATAATGACTGTGAAGAACAAACTATTTTTCCTTTTAATAAGCAACCTAGCATACCAAAACAACATATAGTAGCATATGTGCTAGTTAGCAGTAGTGTTGATAACACAAACTATCCGTTTTCTGAAATATTTTAGTCAAAATATATTAGCTTTTTTTTTATTTTGAGGATTTCAGGATGGAAGTTTAATACTTAACTACAATAAAGAAAATCTATTGGAAGTATGAACAATTTTCCATTATTTTTAGTTGAGATTTTTTTTGTTTTGTTTTTTTTTTGGGTTGTGTTTTTGTATTTTTTTCCTGTTTAGATTTAAAAGATAAAAATCAGTTCATTGCAATTTCAGACTTTGGTAAGAGAAATACTGCATCATCTCACTAAAATCAGAAATATAATGCTATATCTGAACAAGCTTAGCCGTGTACTACTGTGGAATCAGACACATCTTTTGCTAAATAATTCTAGACCCTCACAAATGGACCCCTCATGATGGTCCCATGTTTGGTACATAAAGACATTGGAGAATACTTTATAATTGCCTTGATTTTTACAGTGTGGGATGCCTGCTGACCAATAGCAGTTTGCCAAGCTGCATATTTTTTATAAGGTCCTATACGTGATATTTTCTACATAACCATCATGAGAGTCCCAGTTGGTACTTAAACTGTTTTAATTTGTTTTTATTGTTTTACAATGAGTAAGAAGTCGGAAGCACAAAATAGGGATCTGTTTCTTAAGGTTTTACTTTTCCTGTTTTGACTGCCTGTTTATGTACAAACTATGAAAAATGGATCTTCATACTGTTTAACATACATCTAAAATATTTGTGTGTGCATATGTACAAGCCCATATTTTGCTAATACATAACTTTATGCATTCACAGTGTCCCAGCTTTCTCATATGCATTAAGAGTTTTAGTGCAAAAGTATGTATACCTATTTAATGAGGGACTGTCAATGATTGTAAGTAACAGAACTGCTGAAAGTGTGAAATTTTGCTTTATTTATTTCTAAATAGTTTTGGTTAGTAACTATATTAGCATATGATAAATTCCACTGTATAGCACTTTAACACTTATTTCTTGACATAAAAATAGTGTAATTTTTGATATAATATTTATATATTGAAAAGATGTCACAAACATGCTTTGAATAAGTATTGTATGTTGTGTTTTGAAAATTGGAATTTTACTTTTTTACTACATTTATAAAAAGAATAGAAGAGTTTTTCTGTCACGATCTAATAGTTTTAAAGGAGAAATGTGTATATAAAATTTTTAAACAGAGCAGTGCTTTTTTAATATGTTCAAGAATTAATGTTAAGCATATGTATATTATTTAGAAAAGATTATCAATAAATATGACTCCTAATTCTTTTTTGTGTTTATTTTGAACACAGAACTGTAATAAGCTATTGACCTTTGCTCAACTAAATGAACGTTTTTAACACTAATCATAAATATTTTGTAGTTATTTGTTATGAAGGTATTAGTTGCTCGTTCATCCATCACGAGATTGATGCTTACATTTTTTCACCTGCTTCTAGATTAAAAAAGATCAATGAATATTTTAGCAGTTAGAATATTGCCAGAAACTCGGTAGCTTCAGCGTAACTGTTGTAAGGTATGGAACACAGTTTGCTGGCTCTAACTCTTTACTGTAGAATGGTGCTTTATAAAGTGCCAGAGTAAATGTCTCAGCTTCTTTCAGACATTGGCCTTGTTTGTTCATAGACTGATAACTGTTTCTAGTGTGCTCATTGAACTTGCTGGAATTTTTCTTTACTTATAGTCTTCATTTTCCCCAAGAGGATGAGAGAGGAAAGAATATATTCCTCATGTGGTCAGCATATTTTTGAGTATTTATGTGAGTTCACCATCTTGATTTCAAGTCATGAATTTGTTTTTACATGCATAAGCATGCATATTTACATGCATTATTTATCCAATTGACTTTAAATTCCATTAAGTTCCAATGAGTAGGAGAAAGATTTTGTCTTAGGCATTTTTTATTTCTTTTAATTTTCTGGTTATGTTATTTTGTTGGTTTATTTATTTTTTTAACTGTTCAGTCTAAGGCTTGTAAAGGTTGATTTGCTCCTGAACTGCTTTGTTCCCAGACATTGCCATCTTCCCCAACTACCACCAAGTCCTCTCCATCTGATCCCATGACCACCTCCAGAGCCAATCAGGTACAGTATCATCCTACCATCTACACCATACTTTTCACGGGTGACAGCTTGCAAACTGGAGAAAAAGATATGGTGGGTTAAGGATTTATTCGTTCATTCACATATATACACCCATAACCATAGATATCTAACTCTTGTTAGAAATTGGTAAAGTAAATGGAAAAATATTTTGCTTCTTTTAATTTGTTTTGGTGGGCTTCATTAAAATCTCTGATGAAAGCAAAGTATCTTTTAAAATAGTTGGGTTGGTTTTTTTTCCATTTGATAAATTGCAAGGATACAAAACTGGTGTGTTTGTAGACAGAGTAACTCTTGGTTTATATATGTTTGTGTATATATGCACACGCGTATTTACTTCCTGGATCAGTTTTAAATTATAATAGAATTACCCCTAAACCCATGCTTAAATAGCTGGAATTCAACACAGCAATGGCAAACTGACTTCCTAATTGCAGAATTTTGAAATGTTTGTGAACAGTAACATAGGGGCATTATTTAAATTTAAATATTTTAAATGAAAATTTAATGATGAAGAATTAAGTAAAATTAAGTCTCTCTAAAAACATGCTAAACACATTGAAGTTTAATTCATATCATATTTTTAAATGCATAAAGTGTCCTTTTAACAGCATGTTTATTCTACTGATTTATTTTTATTTTAACTGGAAAAGTCCATGTCCAGTTGATTGTGTCCACAAATTATCATATTATTTTCATCTTCCCTATAAAAGTCGTAAAAAATTGCTACATACCATGCTTTGTAGAACTTATTCATGCTTAAAAAATATCTAATTTATTTTTGATGTAGTGTTAAACTTAATGTACTTTTGTATTTGAATAATGTAAGTATTTAGTATATGCTGAGTTCCCACAGTCTGTTCCCACAGCTGAATGTTGCTATCAGATCTTGCCTAAATAACATCAAATATGAGAAAAGTTTACTTCACAAGCTAATTTCCCCTGAAAGTTAACACTGTTATTAATTACTGATTCTCTGATTTTTTTTTAACTGCTTAGAACTTGCTGGTATATGAACAAACAATTTCACATGAACGGAAGCGTATTAAAGCATTATACTTTTGATCAACACATGACATTTATTGAAGGTGGTGTCAAACACAGAAAGTAATGGAATTTAGAAAGAAATTGTATAGATAGAGGCACTACTAAGAAAAATAAAGGTTGTGATATCCTTGACTTCAACTTAAAAGCCTTCTTCATCAGCCTGCTTCCATTCCAGCAACAGTTACTTGGCTTCATCATCATTAAATGACAAAGATGAAATCTTTGCCAACACCTAGGGATGTTTTATGAGCTCTGTTCAGCTTTTATTCTCTCTCTCTTAATTTCAGTATTTCGTTTATTTTAATTAGGAGGTTTTGAAAATGAGTGTAGAGATTGTTTTTAAAGGGTTCTTACTATTTTTCTTTCACACTTTTTAAAGTATATCCTGATGATCTTTATTTAGAGAAAAAGGAAGAAATGCTTTTATTTACAGGATATACAATTTGAGCATGTTAATTAGCATAAAAGAAGCACCTACTTTGCATCTGTTCTATGAATTTTATGTTATCAGAATTATAGTGTAGTGTATAAACTTTAAATGACCTTTCAATAGCTAAAAATACTTATGTTTATAGAAAGTTGTTCTATGAGAATATTGTCAAGTAATATAGCTAAATTCACAGGCTAAGTGACATATATGCTTTGTGTCCTGTCTGTATCCCAAATTACATATTTTAATGCATTTTATTCATAACCTGTGCTCAATTCAGTTTTCATACAAGTAATCAAGACCTTTTTTGAACAGCACCAAAACTGTATATATGATGAAGAGTAATGCGTTCCTTAATTGACTTTTGGAACTGCTTTTATTATTAACTATTGAAACTTGTACAGGTTTATGATTATTTTATCCCTTCTCATATTTTCTAGTGATTTCTAGCCACTCCAGCAGCAAGCACAAAGCACATGATAAGGCAATTAAGGCCTTTCTGTTCATTCTGGTGATAAGTGACGTCACTGGCAATTGTTCCCAGGCTGTAGTGGTGATTAGCATTCAGCACCAGAGTATCCACAAGTATCTGCACTGCGGCTGTCACATGGAAATAGGTTCCAACACAATCATCTCAAACCTGTCGGCAGCCACATGAACTCCCGACAGGAGAGTATCAGAGAACAATAGTAAATGTTTGTTTTGATATGTGGCCGTGTAAGATGGCTCTCAATAGAAAATAACCGTTCAGGTATGGGTTTGCTCACAAGATGGTATATTATGATAACATGAGAGAGCTTAGTTAACTGGATGGATGTCAGGAAAGTCAGCATTAAGGTGTAAGATGAATTCACAGCACACTCTGTTGTGTGGATAAGGCAGCATATTAGGTTTAAGATCATTCAAATTCATGTAATGTTTTAATCATGGGAAGACATGTTAAAGATTAGAAAGGTGATTAAGCAAGCTTTAAACAGTACGTTATGCTGGGTTGCTGTTGGAGTGAGATTTTTAAGCTGGGCTGGAGGACTCCCCCATAAGTCATTGCAGTTAGAGAATTGTCAAGTCTGTGCTTTATGAGAACAGCTGATGCGAGCCTTGTGCTGTACAAGCGTGTCAGTTGTGTTCCCCTGACAGAGCTTGAACAATTTCTAGACATGCTTTTTAATACAAGAAGAAAATAGCTCTGCCAACAGAGGTCAGAGGAAGCTAGGCAGGAAATCTGGCGTATATTAGATCTTCCTTTTAATGACTCACTTTGCCTCCATTCAGATGAGGTCATAACTCTTTTGTATGGCAGTATCAGCTTTTGATGAATTGTTTTTGGAAAAATCCAGTGTTCATGAACTACTTGTTTTATGATTCTCAAGGAGAGGATAGTCTCTAAAAATGCCTTATCTAGTGGAAGAAAATTTTCTTTAGAACTGTCATGTTTTGCATTATACTGAGTTGCCTTGGGTGCAACAGAAACCTCTTCACTGGAAGTATTTCTCTCTTTAGTTCTTTGTTCCGGGAAGTTATACATGTGTCAGTATTATTCTTGTAAATGCTTTGTTTATTTTTTCAGTGGAAAAAAATTGGACATTTATTCACATTAAAAATCCTACACTGCAAACTTCCCAAGGAAGAAGGAACCAAAGATGCAATAGAATTAGAGGCAATAAAATTTCCAGTAACTCTTTTTTCCCCCCTCCTGTCTGCCTATTGCTGAAACTAACTCAATCTTTCTATACTTCTGTTATAATCTTTCTAAGCTTCTGTTACACCCTCACAAACTTGGTTAGCTTTGCTTATAGCCAAACACTGATAGACATATAGCTACAGCAGTGAAAATGTTCTGCTGATGCCCCTGGAGCTGGCAGAATATAGCTTTGCTTTTATTTAAGAAGGAGGAAATCAATTTGGCTTCTCCAAAGTACACTTCAAGAGGTAATTTCATCTTTAAAGTGATAAATAATGCACTAAACATCATATAGAACATGCTTACTTTTCCTCTGTAGAACCCAGTGGAGGTACAAGTTTTAATTGTTATTTTAGCAGTTGACTTTAGATAGACTAGTATTTCTATATTTAAACTCTATATAGTTTTACTTATTTACTTTATTTTCTTTAAATCTTTATTTAAAGATTTTTTTTCTTTTTAGTGCCTGCTTTACTGAGGTTACTTTAATTTTAGAGGGAGAAACACATAAAGCTAAGCTTTTATTTCTCCTTTGCCTATTTGATGTATACCTGTAGAGGACACTTGCATGTCTTCTTCTCCAGTCCTCCCTGTCTCCATGAAGTTGGTACCACTGTTGACCTTTGCTACTGGCTTAAGAGAATAAAAGGGCCAAAACACATGTCCACACTTATTAATGAGTCAGGAGAGTAATGGCTAGGAGGCCTTTTTCCTTGTCTTACAATTTAGATAGGCTTAAGCTTAGCAATAAAATAGGATTTATCATAGCAAACTTTGAGTCATTAACTTACTATAGAAACCTTTTATTTTTGCTTTTTTAATAGCACTATTTTTTGCCATGGCATTTGTATTTTTTACAATTATACCTTCAATTTGGCTGCTTTGTTATTGCACCTGAAAATCTTCTTGTATCATTTAGTACAATGTAATACAAATTTTGTGGGGTGCAGATAGGTGTAGATTTTGTTCATTCAGTTCTCAGGTTTGCTTTTTTTGTTTGAGTATTTATATCTCATCTTGTTGCTGCAATGTCTGTAATAAATAATACTTTTCAACCTTTTCACATGATGGGACTGAGCCAGTGTTCTTGGAACTGCCTGTACTCAGCAGGTACAGCACGAGCATATGACTATTAAAATCCTGGTATTTGGAATTTGTGCTTTTGGCTCATATTGCCTCTTTATTTTATGCAAAGTCTATAGCTTGCAATGTGATATAATAGTACAGATATAACTAGAGACTGGGAGATGAATTGATATTTTAATGATCGATGCACCCGATCTCCCTCTCTGACTTTAATGAACCGCCCTATCCCTGATGCAAAATTGCTTGCAGAAGTTTCATCTTTTCATTCCTAACAGAAAGGTAGAATCTGAAAATAAAGGCAGTCCATAAAGCATACTGATAGCTTTTAAAGGGTTGATGAACTCACATTTGACATAACTTCTTGTGGGAGGAGGAAGAGATTGGAAAGAAAGCTTTGTTTCAGTCTTCTGTTATCATTAGGACATGGATTTTTAAAGTATGTATAATACCCAGCTTCAAATGATTTCTTAATTAGTATTTTAATGTTAGTGCACAAATACTGAGCTTTAATGATGATCCCAGGATACTCAATAGCCATCGTAGGTCAGTGAGATGTTATCTCAATTTGCCTTGGAAATTTGATATGAGGCTTATTTAAGATATTGTGTCTTGGATATTTTAACTTTAATATTAATCTATTTTTGTTTCCCTGATTTTAATGTCAGTTGTTAGGGAAGTGTTGAGAAAATCTGTTTTCTTTAGAGGTCTTTGACATATTGACTAATGCTGGATGGATCA